GAGGAGCTCCGCCAGCACGAGGGCCAGAAGGCGCAGGACGGGGGCGAGCAGGAGATGGAGCAGGACGAGGAGTAGAAGGAGGATCAGTGCAAGCCCAAGACGCACCAACGATTTTGCAACAAACGAGTTCCCTGCTCACAGCTCCCTACGGTAATTATGCTTCATTGCGAGAAGCTCACCGTCGGAAAACGACCATGTAACTATCTTCAATCGTGCCAAACTGTTCTTTCTGAAGGGGCTGCGCATTCCACCTGGGAAACGATGTTTTCGCGGAGGAGGAGGAGGAGGAGGAGGAGGAGGAGGAGGAGGAGGAGGAGGAGGAGGAGGAGGAGGAGGAGGAGGAGGAGGGAGGAGGAGGTGATGTCCTCTCTACGCGCGCAGGCCCGGGGCGGGCGGTGCCGCGTCTCGGCGGTCCCTCCCGCCCTCCCCCCTGGTGCAGCGTGCTGGTCGCAGCCCGCGGCCTGTCGGGGGAGAGCCTGTGGCCGCCCTCCGTCGGGGGCGGTGCCGTGGTCTGCGGCAGAGGTTCGGGTCGGGCGATAGGGAGGTATTGGGAAAGGGGGGGGGTACGAAATCTGCTGCATGCAGCCGGTTTCGGCCCCACCGAGGGGCCTACTCCTCGATACATGGGCGCCTCCCGGCGCCGGGAGGCGCCGGGAAAATCAGCTACGTGAGCTGATTCTCAAACCCCCCCTTTGCTATCCCCCCCTTTCGCCCGACCCGAGAGGTGCAGGTGCACCTTAGGCGATGGTTAAGAAAACCCAAGTTTTCGGCCAGAGTCTCGATTATTCTTGATGTTTCCATGTAGATCCTAAGGTTTCGATGGGAATTCTGGGCTTCTGCTCAAGTTCTGAGACTATGGATTTCTTAACCCATGATTTCTTGAGCATTTCGCAGGGTGTGCAGTCGGGGCGCTGAAGAAGGAGCCCTTTTCGTTGGGGAGAGGCTCCGTGTTCCTTGATTGTTTCACAGCTTGCCTCAGGTTTTCCTTAGGTTTCCGACGGGAAATCGAACTTCAACCGGTGGGGACAAGGGGCCTCGTTCCTTACGTAGGGTTCCTTGGGCCAATGTCCCGACTGTAGCAAACCCCACGAGCCACGACCAGTGGCAAGTGGACTTTCATAGCGCGCGCTTCGCGTCGCATCAGCCGAGCTGCGGGTGGCCTGTGGTTCCCGGGGGCTTCTCGGCGCCCCTTGGGCTTTCTTGTTGGTTCACTGGGTCTCCCTGGCGCCCCAGGGGTGCCTTCAGTGCCTGGTGGTGGAGGTGTGAAGCGGAAATTACAATTCCTGGAACGTCACCGCCCCGAATTAACCATAATACCATGTTTGGGACTGCAGCATAGCGAATGAACGGAACTGTTGCGCCTGGACAAACTTCAAGTGTGCCATTGCACAAGCCCTGGGAATACAATCTCGCGGTTTCTTGGGATTGACGCGATAGTGTAGGACGAATATGCACGGCGTTGATCCGATAACCTTGTGTTGAGAAGAAGCCCCCTTCCATCAGTGAAGCTGTTGCCAACTTTAAACGCACGTATGCGCATGTTGAATTCGACCTTCATCCGCGAAGCTGTTACAACATAAGAACGAACGTGCCCAGCAATGGTGCGAAAACTGTGTTTTGAATACGCACTGCATGTGTGAAACTGTTGCACTGTTTAAAACCAAATGTGCGCGACGCTGGGGCGACAACCACATTTTGAAAACGACGCACCCTCTGTCCGAGAAGCTGCTGCAAGTTGCAAGTTCGATGATCAGACCATCGTGAGGAAGTCTGTAGCGGAACGCCCATTTTGCCCGACCGACGGGTCTGGGATAGGGACAGGGAAGAGTTTGTTACAGGGAACTGGGATGGAGGAGGAGGAGAAAGAGGAGGAGGAGGAGGATGAGGAGGAGGAGGAGGAGGAGGAGGACTTGAGGGGAGGAGGGGGGAGGAGGAGGGATGGGGACGAGATGGAGGAGGAGGAGGAGGGCAGGAGGAGGAGGAAGGCGAGGGCGAGGGAGGAGAAGGAAAAGGGGGATAGCAGGAGGATGCAGGGCAGGATTCATGAGGACGAGAAGGGGCACGACGGGGGGAGGGGGGCCAGGACGGAGGGGACCCAGGGCGGCGAGAACGCGGACGGGCCGCCCGGCGCCGCAGGCTGGAGCTGTCCGCGCTGCCGTGCGGAGGCGGCGCGCGGCATCGCCAGCGGGCTCCGTTGGAGAATTGAGCAGCGAGGACGGAGGAGGAGGAGGAATGGAGGAGGAGGAGGAGGAGGAGGAATGGAGGAATGGAGGAATGGAGGAATGGAGGAATGGAGGAATGGAGGAGGAGGAGGAGGAGGAGGAGGAGGAGGAGGAGGAGGAGGACGAGGAGAAAGGAGGAGGAGGGGGTGGAGAGGAGGTGCGGCGGAGGAGGAGGAGGAGGAGGTGGAGGAGGAGAGGTAGGGGGGAGAGGAGGATGGAGGAGCGGCGGATAGGGAGGAGGGGTAGGGGAGGAGGAGGAGGAGGGGAGGGGGAGGGGAGGAGGGCGGAGGAGGAGGAGGAGGAGGAGGAGGAGGAGGACATTTTTTTGTTGGCATTCGCTTCGGGGTGAACTAAAGTCAGGCGCGTTCCTCGGACAGCAGCTGACCCCCAGACCAATGCCTGGGGCGCTGCCGGTTCCGATTCGGCTACCGAGCCCTGCCCCAGAGGGAGGAGGAGGAGGAGGAGGACGAGGACGAAGGTTGGCGAAAGGGAGGGGGAAGGAGATCAACTGCTATGCGCTGGGGTAACTCACTTCCCACAGTCTAATGGGCTGACCACCCTGCAAAGCGAGACCTGACCTCCCTCCAAAAGGGATTGAAAGAGTAAGAATGCCCACCCAACCTTTCCCCTCACAGACAAGAACATCCCCTGGACGCCAACGTGCAGGTTCGGGCTTTCAGGCATGGCATTGCCATGGCACGACCCGCCAGGAGAGGGCAGAGTTTTGCAACCTAGCCCTGGCTGCCAATTCCATGCACTGTCTGGTGGGAGAGAAGGGGATAAATGGGCTGAGGAGGAGGAGGGAGGACTGGAAGGATTCAGGCTGCAAGACTTCGCTTGCCTGCCTGCTGGCCTACAAGATTACTTGTGCCTTATTTGCCAGGAAAATATGCACACGACGCTGTAAAGCTCACCCTCACAGAAGTATGAATGGTCCCTGAAATGACTTGCAACTGCACATCCTAGTGCTTGCACAAAGCGAGGGGCCTGGACAACATTTGACAATAATGGCTATACGCTGCGCGTTCTAGCGCCTGCGGCCGTCACGATGATGAGGGTGAGCTGAGGGAAGCCATGCTTGGCCAAGTGTGCCTGATTCGATTGCATGCTAGCGAATTGTTTCAGTGCTGCCAGCAAGGTGGCTTAGAAGTGATATTAGACATGGGGAAGTCCACATCAAAAGCGCAGATACGACCGCATTGAAAAGAACATGCCGTGACCATTGATAGCTCACGCCAAATGGCCTTCTAGCCAAGCTGATGTGCTCCGTAGCCTGAGGTCATTTCCCAAAACGTGCTCACTACTTGTAATGCTAGGCATTGACTTGAGGGACTCTTCCCTCATTTTGCTGTCTCTGCCGACTTGCTGTTCTGGGCTGGATCTTCCGAGCCCCTGGTCTGCTTGAGCCTCTTGAACTCGTCCCTAGCATTGTCGAGCTGCTCTGCCAACGATTTGATGCGAGCCTCCTGTAAATTCTGCTTGAGTTCTTCCATTCTGGATAACGAACGATCGCCTTCGCTGGTTACCTCTGGATGGGCTTCGGACTCTGAGCTAGAGTCCTTGCGCTTGCGCTCCGATTGGGACACGGGCATTCTGGGATCTGACGGCCTCCTAGCCTTCTCCCTCTTTGGCTTCTTCGATTTCTCGTCCTTCTTCGACTTTTTGTGAGCCTTCCTAGGCTTACGAATGGTTCTGTCCTTAAACTGCTTCGAGCGGGACGCCATGGCTGCAATCTGTGTGAGCGCGAAAGACACTGAGTGGCCTCCTGGGAGGCCGGTCTGGGAAATTGCTGACCTGGTCAGCTGCCTTGAGAAAATGGCAACTTGAGCCAAGATGGCTACGGGGGAGGAGGAGGAGGAGGAGGAGGAGGAGGAGGAGGAGGAGGAGGAGGAGGAGGAGGAGGAGGAGGAGGAAGGGGCGGAGGAGGAGGAGGAGGACGAAGAGGAGGAGGAGGAGGAGGAATGGAGGAGGAAAGGAGGAGGAATGGAGGAGGAACGGAGGAGGAATGGAGGAGGAATGAAGGAGGAAAGGAGGCGGAATCGTGGGAGGAATGGGGGAGGAATGGAGGAGGAATGGAGGAGGAATGGATGATGCTGCTGCTGCTGCTGCTGCTGATGATGATGATGATGATGATGATGATGATGATGATGATGATGATGATGATGAGGCTGAGGCTGAGGCTGAGGATGAGGATGAGGATGAGGATGAGGATGAGGATGAGGATGAGGATGCTGCTGCTGCTGCTGCTGATGATGATGATGATGATGATGATGATGATGATGATTGAAATGGTGGTGGTAGTGGTGATGATCATGGTGACGATGATGCTGATGATGCTGATGAGGACCATGAGGATGGTAGTGGCGATGATGATGCTGCTGATGCTGATGATGATGAGGATGATGCTAATGATGATGATGATCATGATGATGATGATGATGATGATGATGATGATGATGGATGATGTGGTGGTGGTGATGATGATGATGATGATGATGATGATGATGATGATGATGATTGTCGTGATTACCGTCGACGATGTTGTGCTGTGCTGCGCTCGTCCGTCGAGCATGATGGCGCCAGCCCGTGCTGGCGAGCGTGTCTGCCGCGCTCTCTGCACAAAAGAGGGGGCCCCCTCCTCGATCCCATACAGCCGCGGAGGCGGCGGCAAGAGAGAGAGAGGAAGGAGAGGTTGACTCAAAACTTCGCTCGAGTCGCCTCGGCTCGACATGAGCCTAAAATCCTTCTCAACCGTTCCGACCGAACTGGATCAAAAGAGGGGCCCTGCACAGTACAAATATGGAAAAGGATGATGAGAATGAGCCCGACACTACCCTCAAGATAGGTCGAGAAAAGCTAAAGCGTCGGCGGCCTCGGCTTCAGCGTCCGTAGGCGGCTGCGGCTTGTCCTGAGCGAGTTTGTTAGCTCGCTGTCGTTTCCTGGCTGACATGAAATCCTCGTCGTACCTGATGATCCAGGTGCGCCGCGCAAGCCACAGAGCCAGAGGCTTCCTGGCCTCAGGACTGTCTTTCGTGAGGCCGTCGGTGAGGTTGAGGTCCGAGGGTACCCAGACCAGGTGCTGGTTCTTCTCGGGCCCGCAGTTCGCCTTCACATGCAAAACCTCCACGCCGGTCCTCGCGTCGCTCAGGCCTATGCCGAAGCTCTCCTTGTTGTGAACTGAGTCATAAACTCCCCGACTGTCGATCACCAGCACAGAAGTCATGGATTGCGCCACTTCCTCCTGGGTGTGCGCGGTAACTGGAACTCCGTGCATGACTGACCACAGCATGCGCATCAAGTACGCGGCGTTCTCTCCGTCGTACAGGGCCTGGCCCTCGCAGCCATTGGTGCCGATGCCGGTGCGCTTGAGCTTGTACGATCTCCAGTCGGCGATAGATACTGCACATTCCTTCTGCTTGAGAATCTCGGCCGTGGTGAAAGCCACGATGTAGCCTCCTCGTTGGAGTAGCCTGCTTGCGTCGACCCACGTCACAATCACTAGGTCGTCCCACTTCAGCTTGCCGCCGCAGTTGCTATTGAAGTTGTGGAACACCAATGAGTCACGAGCGGTCCGCTTCACATCGCGTATGAGGGCGTTCGTGTCCTTCAGGTCCCCGAACGTCGCCTCGTTCACCCGCTGAGCCAACAGTGACACCCGACACGAGAACTGTGGTGCTGTCTGTGTCGCTCTCCACTGGCATTTCATCAGGCCCGCCCTGAACTGGGTGACGTCCTCCGGTTTGAGCTTGTCATCCTTCGAGAGATACTTGCCGGACTCAACCCTGATCTCGAGGAGCTGGTGACAGAACTCCTCCTGGCTGGCATGGATCTTGCCCGACGGCTCCTGGGTGATCCACATGCCTGCCCACATGCACAGCGTGCTTCGCCATGGAGACCACCGCAGCATCTCCTTCAGCATGTTCTTCATGTCGAGGTAGAACTTGTTGTCACTGTCGCCTGCGATGCCAAAGTCGTCCACGTGCGAGCCGATGACCCCGCACACGGTGCCGTCCTGATCCTGAATGATCCAGATGCACGGCTCGATGAGGACGCTCTTGCCTCCTGCTTCGTGGATCTTGTGGTCCACATACTTCCAGAAAACCCACGGCGCATTCGTGATCCCGTAGATCGCTGCCAGGACTCGCATGGACTCCTCCTCGTTGATCTGCAAGGCCTGCCGAAGCTCCTTCACGCCCTTCGTGTAGAGCTTCCTCCACTCCTCAGTGTGCCCGGCCTGCAGAAAGGCGGACTTCGCGTCGGCTAGCTCGAAGGTCCAGCCGTGAAAAGCAGCCATCTGGAGGAGTGCCAGCTTCCCTTTTCTTGAAATGGTTGGTGACGCCGTAGGAAGCACCCGATCTCCGAACTTGTCGCGACTGACAAGGTCCGGATGTGAGAAGCCCAACAGAATGATACGGGCCTTCGCCTTGAACTTCCCGTCCGGCGTGCTCACGGGGTGTGGGTCCGACTTGTCCGGTGGTTCAGGTGGCGTCAGAGGCTTCCAGGTCAGTAGCCACCTCATCTTGATCAGCTTGTCCGCTGGAATATCTTTTCCATGATTGTAGTCAGCGTAAGCAGATGCAGCCCGGACTGTCGGTACTTCCAGATGTTCCGCCAGCTCCCGTGCCATTGCCTCTTGGAACAGTGGCTTCTCCTCGGGGCTCAGGCGGCCAAACGAAACCTCCACGCCCTTCTTGACCGTGTTGTTGGCCACGCGGTTCAGCTGCTTCTCCAGGTACGCGCTCGCATCGAAGCAGAACTCCTCAAGGTCCGCCTCGATCTCGATCTTCATCAGATCCATCTCGGCCTCGTTATTCGGATCCTGCACGAAGTTGATAATGTCGATCTCGCTGGCTTCCACATGGTCGCTCGCCGCCTTGAAGAGGGCAGCGTGAGCAACTTCAGCTGAGGCTCTTGATGAAGATGATCTCCCAAAACGCGGTTGGAAAGCTTCAGTCGGTACAGGTGGCCACGACACAGTCGGCGTCTTGCCTCTCAATCTTGTTCGCTTAATCTGTGGTGGCTCTGGTGCTGAGTTGTCCTCGTCTACCTCCTGGTCGTCATCTGCCTCCGTGACGTCGTGGGGTTCCACGGCCACATCGGGATTCTCGATCACCCTCGGCATGCCTTCAAGAGGTTGACGTGGTAGCATCCTCATGCCATCTGCCGTTGGGTAGGGCTCCCCGGCTATGTCGTCAAAGTCCTGGAGGTGCCTCCAGACGTCCTCGAGCGGACTGTTGAGGATGTCGTCCTTCTTCAGGTTGATCTGGACGATCTCCGACTGCGTGGCTGGCCGCAGTTGCTCAGCTGCGCAGCGCCAGCATCGGTTGCCCATGATGACCCAGATCGCGCCGTCCTTGTTGCCGGTCTGGACCGCCGGCTCGGAGAACAAGACCCGGCCCGGTCCGATGAACAAGCCGTCCGTGAAGAAGTCCTGTCCGGAAAGCTTTCGCTTTCCTGTCGCAGCGTACGACCGCCAGACACAGACCCAGTCGCCTCGTTTATATTCATGTCGAGGTCGTGGGGCTGAGTTCTTAAGCTCTGAGATCTTCCTGGACGCCTTCTCCTTCAGGTAGGTTGCCTCTGCATCCGCTCGCACCCGCTCGATCTCGAAGAAGTCGGACTTCAACTTGCCAGTAGCTGCGTTGTGCGCCAAGATAGGGTCCTCGGTCGGAGAAAACCCGAAAGCCCACTGCATCGGCGTGTAGCCCTTGATGTTGTCCATGTTGTTGGCCGCCGCAATCGAGATGTAAAACACGGTCTCGGGACTCAGCTTGGGGTATTGTAGGCGAAGCTTCCTCATTACCTGCTTGACGGTCGAGATGCGGCGCTCGATGTCGCCAGCCATCCAATGTGCTCCTCCTGGTTTCGCTGAGACGCCGATGCCGGCCAACTGGCAGTTGTCTTTAAACTCGCCGCCCACAAAAGAGGTCTGGGGATCGACGAAAACCCACCTTGGCTTGGGATAGTGTTGAAGGTAGGCTCTGGCAAACGTCGTGAACAGCGTAGCTGACGAATCTGTGCCCTTGTCCTTGAGGCCGATCTTCGCAGTGATGTCCCCGCACATCAGGCCGGTGGTGACCTCTGCGATGAGGAGAAACCTGGCCTTCACATTCAAATCCGGGAACGTCAGGTCGGAAACGTCCATGACGGCTGCCTGCCAAGGTGCCATGGGGATATCGAGGCTCGCCTTGACCTTGTGGGTAAGGCCGTGCTTGACCAGGTCGCATGCCTCGCAGCGAAGGTTGATCGCTTCTTCGATGATCCAGCGTGGACACTGCCGCTTCTTGCACCAGTAAGCCAAGTGCTCGTTCCCTGGGTGCCCTGCAGCCTTGTGGATCCTGCTCAACATCGCACGCACCTGTTCCCTTTCGAGATCCGTGGGCTCAGCGACGTAGATGCTCCCGGTGTCCCGCTCCATCAGGTAGGCATTCTCGAGGTCTAGGACAGCAGGGTTCTCCAGGGCCATGTTGAGGTCGATCGGGGTCCGGAGTTGAGCATGCCACAGCCGGGCGATTGCCTTGCACATCGCCTGCGGGTAGTAGGCTGTGGCTGCAGTGTGCAGCTTCCCGCTGATGACTCGGTGGCCGTGTGAGTGGTCACACACGGTCGCGACCTTGGAGAACTCCGGGTCGGTGGTCATGATCCTCCAGCCCTTCTCGACGAGCTCGTTAGTGTTGTAGTCCCTGAGGCCGTACATGCACCCGTCGATCCGATCTTCGAAAACGTGTCGTCCCCGACGCCTCAACTCCATACGAAGAAAATTTAGCTCGGGAATCTTCCAGCCTTGGCACCTGAGGCCACTCGAAGTAGACCTCGCCTCCGTTGTCAACAATCTTTAGCAACAGGAGAACTCCATACTTCACACGTCGTCGGTCTCGAAGTCGGTCTTTCTCTAGGCGTGCACGTGCCTCTGGGGTCTTGTAGTTGAAGTTCGTAAGCGAAGTCCATAGCGTGCATGGTAGCGATATCCAAGCCCGCTTCGGCATCACCTCGTCCAGCTTCTTGCTAGCGGCCTCGAAGCCCGCCTTCGTGCTGAGGTTGTAACCGTTCTCGATGCTGATCCTCTCCATGCTGAGGCCGATGTTGGTGCACTCGTCGGTCAGCATGCTGTTGGGATGGCAGCAGATCTCCACCGCCTCGGTGATCGTACCCACGGTCATGGCCAAGGCCAGTCCTGCGAGTAATGACCTCCGGCGTCCGGCCGCCAGAAGCTGCCTCGGCACCCGGCTCAGACTGGCCCGGGTACTGGTTCCGCCATCTGGGCCTTGCGCCTGGGGTTCGCTGCCCCCAACATCTCCAGCAGCGCGTCCGGCGCGTGGCGGATCTCGGTCCCGGGAAGCCTCCGGAGAGAGGTGGCGATGTTCATCATCGCGGTCACCTGCTCGTGATTGGCCGTCTCCCACAGGTTGCAGTACCGCACCAACTCCAGGCCGGACTCCACCAACTTCGGATGCTGCATGCTGAGGTTCGTCATCGGCGCCTTCGCCGTCGGGACGTAGAGCAACCTCAGCCCGCACCGATAGCATGTCCTGGTCTGGCCCCACTGGTTGTTGACCGTGAAGTACTTGCGATGCGTCTTGCCGCACGGTCCCCGTGTGGTCCTCGGGTCGCGGGGGTCCACCTGCAGTGCGAACGCCGGGTCCAGCTCCATCTGCTTCTCCCTCTTGCGACCCTGGTGCGTGTTGCCCGGATCTTTCTCCTTGACCTTGCCCTCCGAGGTGACGTACTCCATCTTCTGACCGTTGAAGACGAACTCCCGCTTGACCTGGGTCGTAGGTCCGGAGCTCGCTGCCGCCGAAGGTGACTTTACCTCCGTGCCCTCCTCCTTCTTGTCGGCATCTATGTCGACAGGTACCCATTCGTCCTTGCCCTCCATGGAAACGCGCTGGCTGAAGCGCCGGCTTGCGGATTGCCGAAAATCGCTCTGAGCGAGTTCCAGAGCCAAAAGACGGCGGAGGAGGGGATGACCATGATGGAGCTGCTCTTCCTGTTATGGTTGATGGAGGTGATGTTGCTGTTATCACTGGCGGTGTTGTCGTAATAGCCGTATATACTGATGATGGTGTCGTTCTCATCTGAGATGATGCTGATAATGTCGTTCTTGTTTGAGATGATGCTGATAAAGTCGTTCTTGTCCGAGATGATGCTGATGGTGTCGCTCTTGTCTGAGATGATGCTAATGGTGGTGATGTTGTCTTTGTCATCGACCATCTCTGAAACGCCCTTGCAAGACCCTCGGTGTTTTCCTCTGTCGGGTTGAAAAACCTCGGAAACGTGCTTCACCAGATGGAGGATGCAATGGCCCTTGACTGGAGTCTTGCGAAGCTGCACCAGTTGGCCCCTGATCACAGCCTCCCCGGTTCGGAAATTCACGATTGCCGGCCACGACTCCAGAGCAGTCATTCCCAACAAAACGAGAGGCACGCCAGGACTGAGAGCGAAGATGCCCAGAACGAAGCCCGGCTCGAACTCGACCGAAACCTTATACAGTGCCTTGCCCCACTTATTGTCTCCAAAACGAAACCACGGTCTTTCATTTTTGTTGATCTCGATCCTGGCCTGGGGGTTCGCAGCCGCAACGGCGGCAACCAGGGCCTGGACTGCGCGCTCGCCTCCGGCGGACGCGGAAGCCCCGCAATCAACCATGGCCTCAGAAGGGGCGAGGCCGCTGTCGTTCTGCTCTGCCTGGTACAGACCCTGGAGCTCGTCGAACCCGTGCGTGATCGTGTGAAACTCCAGGTAGTTCGCATTCTTGCCCTTCTGGTCGTGGTCCCTGTCGCGGTACTTGCTGCCCTTGCCGCTCTTGCCGCCCTTGCTGCCCTTCGGGCCTCGACCCGTGAACGGCGGTCTCGAGGGCTGCTGGTGCGGCCACGACGGAGGAAGGCGGCTCTTCCCTCCTGGACCCGATGATGGCTTGCCAAATCCTCGATCTTTGTGAGCGGCGGCCACTGCTTGTCTGGCTTGAACTAGAGTGCGTGACGCCTCTGCCGCCATCGCCTGGGCCGCCTCGAGCTCCTCATTGAGGTGGTTGAGATCCTCATCCATGGCCTCGGACCCTTCTGGCTCTGAGGCTAGCTGCGGCTCCTCCTCGACATCGTAGTCGTCCTCGTCCTCGTGGTGGTCGTACCCTTCGTTCTCCCACGCCTGGACTGCCGCTGCGTAGCCATCGTACCAGTCAGGTCCGTGTACGTCATCAAACTCCGCAATGAGGGCCGACTGCTGGCCCGACTCCGGGCCGTACCGAGGCATAGCCCTCGGTCCGAAGTCCCGCTGCACCAGCGCCTTGTCCTCCCATCGCTCCTTCAAAGCCTTGGAGACTGCATCGAAATCCAAGCGGTTCTGCGTGACCACGCGGACGTCCTGCTTCTCCTTCTCGGTGAAATCCATCGCCTCGAGCAGGAAGAAGCCGCGGAGGACCTTCAGGACTCCGGAAGCGTGGCCGAAGAACGTAGAGCCCACTGCCATCGCTTCCGAAACCTTGAGCTTGCTCGCCATGGATTCTTGTCGGTGAAAACGATCCGTTCGAGAGCCCTGCGAGCGAGACGTAGTAGAGTGTCGTTCATACTCATCTGCTTCTTCTGCTTCCTCGGCAGGGGCGTCATCTGCTGCCAAGGTCGTCGGTGCGTCGGGGTTGGCTTCCCAGGTGTCCCAACACCTCTGGCAGTACCATTGTCCACGTCCAGCTGCGCCTCGGTCTCTCTCGAAGTAGCCGAAGCACTCCTGGCACTGCTTGTACTTGTCGTTGTCGCCCATCTCCTCGAGTAGGCGCTCCAGTGCTTGGACCATCTCCGAGTAGCAATCCTGCTCCCGGATCAGGAGCGCGCCCACTGTCTCGCCTTTGCGCCGCTTGAAGTCCTTGTAGTAGTGCTTGATCTTGTGGGCCGCGTCCGGGACAGGAAGCTTTCCCAGTGGACTGTTCCTCAGGTCGTCCAGAAGGAGGAGGTGGCCGTTCGGATTCTCATATCTGTCTGGATCCAGGGTGGTCGCAAACGTCCTTATAGCTATCGTTTTGCTCTGCAGCATGCGCCCGATGATCCTGTTCGCCGCAAGGTCCCTATCCTGCCGCTTCAGCGTGCGAGGGAACCACTTCACTGCCGTCTCGAAGTGTCGCCAACGTCCTGGGTTGCCGTCCCATTCTGGGATGGCATCCTTTGCTTTCTTGTCGTCCCGCTCCATGGTGTTCTGGTCCCTTGGGGAGTGCCAGAACTTGTCCGTGGATCTAGCTCCGCAATACCAATGTCGTGATTACCGTCGACGATGTTGTGCTGTGCTGCGCTCGTCCGTCGAGCATGATGGCGCCAGCCCGTGCTGGCGAGCGTGTCTGCCGCGCTCTCTGCACAAAAGAGGGGGCCCCCTCCTCGATCCCATACAGCCGCGGAGGCGGCGGCAAGAGAGAGAGAGGAAGGAGAGGTTGACTCAAAACTTCGCTCGAGTCGCCTCGGCTCGACAATGATGATGATGATGATGATGATGATGATGATGATGATGATGATGATGATGATGATGATGATGATGATGATGATGATGATGCTGATGATGATGATGATGATGATGATGATGATGATGATGCTGATGATGATGCTGATGATGATGATGCTGATGATGCTGATGACGATGATGCTGATGATGATGACGATGATGATGAGATTATGATGCTGACGATAATGATGATGATGATGATGATGATGATGATGATGATGACGATGATGATGATGATGCTGCTGCTGACGAGGACGATGATGACGATGATGGTGATGGTGATGCTGATGCTAACGCTGTTGATGATGATGATGATGACGATGGATGAGGATGATGATGATGACGATGCTGATGATGATGGATGATGATGGATGATGATGCTGCTGCTGATGAGGATGAGGAGGATGAGGAGGAATGGAGGAATGGAGGAAAGGAGGAATGGAGGAATGGAGGAATGGAGGAGGAATGGAGGAGGTATGGAGAAGGAATGGAGGAGTAATGAAGGAGGAAAGGAGGAGGAATGGAGGAGGAATGGGGGAGGAATGGGGGAGGAATGGAGGAGAAATGTAGGAGGAATGGAGGTGGAGGAGGAGGAGGAGGATATGGAGGAAATGGAGGAATCATGATACGAATGGAGACATGGTCAAATGGTAGGGGAGAGAGGAGAGAGGATGAGAAGAGGAGGAGGAGGAGGAGGAGGAGGAGGAGGAGGAGGAGGAGGAGGAGGCGGAGGAGGCAAGGGGGGAGAGGGAGGAGGAGGAGAGGAACACTAGGAATGGAGGAATGGTCAAATGGAGGGGAGAGGATGCGAGAGATGAGAGGAGGGAGGAGAGGGAGGAGCATGAGGAGAAGGGAGGAGGAGGAGGTAGGAGGAGGGGAGGAGGGGAAGGAGGAGGAGCAGGGGAGGAGGGACGAAAAGAGGAGCAGGAGGAAGAATGGAGTAATGGAGGAATGGAGGAGAAATGGACAGGAAGAGGAGGAGAAGGAGGAGGAGGAGGAGAAATGGAGGAGGAGTGGATTAGAGAGTTCGAGGTAGGACGTGTGTGGAGGAGAGAAGTGGAGGAGGATGAGGAGGAGGCGGAGGAGGAGAAGAACTGGAGAAGAGGAGGAGGAGGGAGGAGGAGGAGGAGGAGGAGGAGGAGAGCAGGAGGAGCCAGGCGGAGAGGAGGAGGTAGGAGGAGGAGGGAGGAGGATGAGAATAACGGTGAGGAGGGGAAGCTGGAGCAGTACGAGGAAGGAGGGGAGGAGTTGGAGGATAGGATATGGAAGATAGAGACAGCTTATTTTTTATCGTCTTTGCTAGGGGGAATGGAGCACGATGCAGACTGAGAGAAGGGAGGAGGAGCGAGGAGGAGACTGGATCAGGAGAAGGAGGAGAGGAGACGAAGAGGAGGAGGATGAGTAGAGAGGATGGGCAGAGGATGAGGAGGAGGAGGGAGGAGGAGGAGGAAGATGAGGAGGAGGGAGGAAGAGATGTATCGTAGGATGGAGGAGGAGGAGGAAGAGGGCAGGAGAGGAGGAGGAGGAGGAAGAAGATGCGAGGAGGAGGAGGAGGGAGGAGGAGGAGGAGGAGGAGGAGGAGGAGGAGGAGGAAGAAGAGAGGAGGAGTAGGTTGGAGCAGCAGCAGCAGCAGCAGCAGCAGCAGCAGCAGCAGCAGCAGGATGAGTCCCCAGACTATTTGTGGGACTATTCTTGCAGGGTTTTTGGGATGCCTGTAGGAGGACGTGCCCGAGCTAAGGCCAGCCGGGCGCATCCGCTCAGCCAGCCAGGCGACGGCGGCACTCTTTGGGCCTCGCTGCCGCGCCCCGGCGCCGCAGCGGCCCAGGCCGGCGCCGCGGCAGCAGCAGCACCCCACGTCGCTGGGAGCCGGCGGTGCTGCTGCATGGCGCGAGGACGCCGCCCGCGGGGCCGCCGCCGAGGTGGTGCGCGGCGCCGCGCGCGTCTCGCCACGCCCTGCTTGCAGCGTGCGCCGCGACATCCCGCGCCCCGTCGCCGCAGGGAGCGCCGGTCGGTGGCACACCGCGCTGCGACGCGCGGCCAAAAAACAGACGACACCACCCCACGCTGCGGCCCTCCATGTTGCGCTACGGCCCATCGGCGGCCGCAGCGTCTACCGTGCAAAAGCCCGCGCCGGACGTCCTGGTATGCGCTGCGGCCCGTGGGGCCGCAGGTGGGGTGGTGCCGCTTGTTTTCTGGTCCAGGCGTCCCGTGGCCGTGGCGCCCGCGCGTCGCCCCCCCGAGGCCGGCTTCGAGGCTGGGCGCGGCGGGCTCCGGGCGCTCCACGAGAGCTCGCCAGCGGCGCCCCGCGATGCGGCGGGGGAGGCCGCGAGGGCGGCCCGCTGGGCCTGCTGCCGTGGCGTGGCGCAGGGAAGCCGGCACGCCCTCCGGGCTGCTCCGCTGCCCCTGGGGCAGCCGTGCAGCGGGCCGCAGCCATCTGTCGTTCATCGGCCATCCATCGCCATCGAGGAGGCGAAGGAGGAGGAGGGCAGCACGAGGGAGGAGGAGGAGGAGGAGGAGGCGGAGGGAGGAGGATGGGAGGGAGGAGGAGGAGGAAGGAGGACGGAAGAGGAGGAGGAGGAGGAGGAGGAGGACGGAGGGGAGGAGGAGGAGGAGGAGGAGGCGGAGGAGGAGGAGGAGGAGGCGGAGGAGGAGGAGGAGGAGGAGGAGGAGGGAGGAGGAGGGAGGAGGAGGAGGAGAGGAGGAGGAGGAGGAGGAGGAGGAGGAGGAGGAGGAGGAGGAGAGGAGGAGGAGGAGGAGGAGGAGGAGGAGGAGGAGGAGGAGGAGGAGGAGGCAGGAGGAGGAGGAGGGGAGGAGGAGGAGGAGATGAGGAGGAGGAGGAGGAGGAGGAGGGGAGGAGGAGGAGGCAGGAGGAGGATGGAGGAGGAGGAAGAAGGAAGAAGAAGAGGAGGACGGTAGGAAGGAGGAGGAGGAGACATCGAGTAGCCACAGCTATCAGCCGCACGCAGCAAGCGCTAAGCAGCACAAGTAGGCTAGGCAGCAGCAGCAGCAGCAGCAGCAGCAGCAGCGGGAGCATAATGGCAACGTGCAGGACGAGGGACGGGACGAGGAACCACGGCTGCGTCCATGTGGAGCCATCGGTTTCGCAGCACCCCTGTTCGAGGTATCCTTTCCCGTTCCTGAGCTTTTCGGCAACGGAGACCCGCGGGTCTTCGCGTTGCGCGTCGGGACCCTCAAAGACAACGTTGTCCTCGGAAACCACCTTCGGGTTCGCGCCGGCCTCCGTTTTATTGGCCGAACTCCTCCTCAGCGTGTATGACCGTGCGCTCGCCGAAGAAGATCGCTCCCGGCCCTCGGCCAGTGCCGGGACCTCGCCGCTCAAATCTTCAGCGACGTCACCTTGCTGCTGCGGAGGAGGAGGAGGAGGAGGAGGAGGAGGAGGAGGAGGAGGAGGAGAGAAGGAGGAGGAGGAGGAGGAGGAGGGGGGGACGAGGGTCGGAGGCGGGCACAGGCAGGCTCTGGTGCCGCCTCAGATCCTGGCCCCAGAGGGCCCCGGAGGGCCTCTCCGATCCAGGGATCCAGGGCGAAACTCATCAAGGGCCTCCCGTCAAGCAGTGGCGAAGCGTCCTGGCTCGCCTATAGCCCTACCAAACAATGTTCTAAGAACCTGTTGTGGTTTCCACGAAATGCTCTCAGGACAGTTCTGGCTGGGACTGTCTTGTTTTAACACATCGGGTTCATGTTCTAAGAACATTGTTTTGTTCTTAGAACATGTTTGGACCTAAGCAAATCTCGTGGTAGGACTATATGAATGTCGGGACGATCGGTCCCTGCTCAATCCCTGGGTCGATACCCCGATCCTTGGATGCCTCTCTCCTCGAGCCTCGAGGGCCGAGGGCAAAACTCAGCAACGGGGGCGCCGCGGATGCACCGAGGCCGGGAGCATGTTTGGCTCAGAGACAGGGCTGGGTGCTTCCACGGGGGTCCTCCCGCGGATGACCTCGGCCTGGCCAAGGATCTGAAACTAATTTGTTCTTTTGTGGAGGTTCCTTCCAGCAAGATGTTGACTGTAGAGGGAGGGCCAGGACGGGGACCAGGACGAGGAGGAGGAGGAGGAGGAGGAGGAGGAGGAGGAGGAGGAGGAGGAGGAGGGGGAGGAGAAGGAGGAGGAGGAGAAGGAGGAATATGTGGTAAAGTGCCCCCTCCACGCGCCTGGAGGAACGCGTCATGCAGCGCAATTCCAGTGGTGCCCTCCACTGCCGGATGGCTCGATTGCTTGTGTCGACTGTGGCCGAGTTTATTGCAGCCCGCAGTCAAACAATCGGGTCGTCCTGTCGTGCAGCCCCCCTCCAGAGTCTGCAGGACGAGGACGGCAAGGACGGCGAGGGCGAGGGCAAGGGCGCAGGAGGACGAGGAGCACCAGCGCGAGGACGGGGAGGAGCGGCAGCGGCAGGACGCTGGCGAGCGCCGGGGCGGCGGCGGCGCGGGCGCGCTGGCGAGCGCGGCGGCGGCGAGCGCGGCGGCGACGAGCGCGGCGGCGGCGAGCGCGAGCATGGCGGCGGTTAGAGCGCGGCGCAACGGCCCGTCCCGCGCGCCCCCCGACCGGCGCAAGCCCCGATTGCATGGATCATTTTGGTTCGGCGGACCAGGGCGGGCACCCACGCCTCGGAGAGCCGCCCGCGCGAGCGAGCGGCCGGTGGTGCGTGCTAAAGAGCGACGTGGCTGCGCGGCCTTTGCGG